ATTATTATTATTATTATTATTATTATTATTATTATTATTATTATTATTATTATTATTATTATTATTATTATTATTATTATTATTATTATTAAGCACCTTAAGAAGGAGCCACATAACGGGATCCGCTCGAACTACCATGGACAGCGAAGCTGGGAGCCGCTGGGGTTTTTTGCTCACGCCCCCTCCCCACTCCTTTTGGGCCCCGCCGGTCCGGGACCCCCTCCCCTCCCTTCTCTCCCCCTCCCCGTAGCTGTCGGGGGACCCGAGGTGGTCCTTTGGTGCTCTCTGAGTTTGGCGCTGCTTTTCCTGCAAGAGATTCGTTAGCCAAATTTGGGTCACCCTTCCAAGGCTGGCGATTATTTCAGCCGTCGAGCTCCATCAATAATTCTTCTCGGTGTGGAGGGGCGAGGAAAAGGGCGTAAGGACCCCGGGTCCCAAAGGGGCTCTTCCATCACCACCCCCTCCCCCGCCAAGATGCGGCTGAACGGGAGGGAGCCGGCCGGGGTCGCTTCCCGCCTCCTCCTCCTCCTCCGAGGAATAATATGCTTGCCCTCCTCTTTTTTTTTTCCGGCTTCCCTCCCCTCCCAAACCTCCAGCGGTGCCTTTCCAATTTCGTTTGCAGCTTTTTGGGGTGGGGGAAAATCCTACTTGCAAGGGAAAGTAGAACGGCTCTTTCGAACAGGGTCCCCGACGGACGGACGGATGGATGAATGGAAGAGCGCTTTCTTTTCTTCTTTCTCTTTCTCTTTCTTTTCTTTTTTTCTTTTTTTTTCTTCTTCTCTTTTTTCTTTTCTTCTTTTTATTTCTTTTCTTTTTTCTTTTCTTTTTTTGGGGAAAAAAAGGGGAGGGAAACGCTTTCCCCGTCCGGAGGATTCGCCAAACTCTGCTGTGGATTCTTAACAGAGGGGTGTTGTTGTTGTTTTTTAACGGAAAATACTTAGGAAGGATGAAGAGGAAAGAGATTTTAACGAATCTACGCTGGTTTTTCATTAGGGGCTTTTTTTCCCCCCCTCTACCCGGATCTCAGACTTTGCTGGTTGTTTAGGCGCTTCGGGCGCTGGGAAAAAAACCGAATTCTATATTTCTTCCTTAGCCAGAAACTGTGGCTGAAACCGCGAAGCCTTGAAGAGCCGTTCTAGATCACTGGGCAGAGTTCATCGGACCGAAAGATCAACCACGCAGGCAT